CAGCTGGTCGGCGGCCGCCCCACCAGCGCCAGGGGCACCACCAGGTCCGCCGCGTCCACGGCCGCCAGCACCGCCGCTAGGTCGAGGCTGGGAGGGAGGTCGGAACTGCGTAAGCTTGGCGCCGCAGGAACACCGCCAGTTCTGAGCCTCCAGCAGGTCGTCCCACTCACAGCGGCGGCAGGCCGAACATCGGGACCAGGGCCGATCAAACGGAACCCGCTTGCGTCCGGCAGAAAGCAGCCGACAGGAGGCATTTCGCCCCATCTCGATGGGATCCCAGGACCACGCCTCCAGAGACCTCTGCGAACTTCCAATCCTGATTGCGCCGAATCGGCACCGCGCCGCCACCAGCTGCCGCCAGACAACTTCTGGCGCGCGGCCCCAAGAACGCCTCGCGGAGGCTCGGCGCGACCCCGCGGCCCTTCCCCAGGAGCGACGGAGCCAAACGGTTCTTGGAGGAGGAGGAGGAGGAGGAGGAGGAGGAGGAGGGTTAAGAGGAATTGGAGGAGGAAGAGGAAGATGAGGAGGAGGAGGAGGAGGATGAGGAGGAGGAGGAGGAGGAGGAGGAAGAGGAGTTGGAGGAGGAGGAGGGGGAGGAAGAGGAATTGGAGGAGGAAGAGGAGGAGGAGGAAGAGGAGGAGGAGGAGGAGGAAGAGGAGTTGGAGGAGGAGGAGGAGGAGGAGGGGGAGGAGGACCAGTGTAAGCCCAATGTGAGCCCAAGGCGCAGTGAAAGACGAGCCCGTCTCCAGCGCTCCGGGTCGCCGGCCCGCGCCCCCGCGGGCGAGCTCCCGCGGCGCTGCGCGGCCTCCCCCGCGCTGGCGGCGCGGGGCGTGTCGCCGCAGCGGCAGGAGCCCTCCTCGTCGTCGTCGTCGTCGTCGTCGTTGTCGTCGTCGCTCATCGGCATTTGGCGTCTCTCGCCAGTCGCCGCTGTCGTTACTTGGTGTCGTTATCCGTCGATATGGTCGTCGTCGTGGTCGTCGTCGTCTCCTCGTCGATGTCTTCATCTTCGACGCTGTCCTGGCTCACTTGAAGTCCTCGGGGGGTCTTCTGGGCGCCACGGCTTGACTTCCGCTTCCGAAGATCCCTGGTCTCGCGACTGGGCCGCTTCGGAGTTCTCGCGCCGTGAGGACATCTCGTCGGGCTTTGTGTTGTAATATTTCCGGCCTCTGAGGGCCCCCGCTGTGTTCGGGAGCGGCCAAGAGGGGGGTTACGATTAGGGGCGGGGGACATCATGGCGGGGGCCATGATATCTCCCCAGATTTCATGGCGCCTCTTCTTATTTCAATACGTCCCCAGCCTCCCCTTGGGCCGCGCACGTGCCGCCGGGTATGATTTGCGCCCCCCCCCTCTTGGACGGTCCCCTCTTGGCCGCCCCGATCTCAGAGACCGTCCACATGAACGACTGGGAACGAGAAGCTCGCCACCGAGACCGGTCGAAAACACTGGGGGTCCACGTTGTCACGAATCGCTGCGTTGGGGGTCGGGTTGGTCGTGGTCGTCGTGGTCGTCCTCGTCGTGGTCGTCGTCAACATTATCGTCGTCGTCGTCATCGTCGTCAGTCGTTCTGCTTTCCCTTTCCAGAGGATTCTGGAGGTCTCTGGAGTTCTGGGAGACCTTGCGGTGTCACCTCGGCGCTCACTGACGTCCTGGGAGTCGTGAGGTCTTCGAAGCTTTTGGTGGGCTCTTGAGCCCAGACCTCCGACGCCGTGATCTTTCAGTCCCGGCGTTGTTCCTCAATTTCGGCCTCTGGAGGCCCGTTAGGCCTCCTGGGGACCATCACGAGTTATATTGGATGGGCAAATCCGTCTCCAGGAATGGGTCCGAAGGTCCAGGATCGCGTATTGAACAGACCTCAGTGTCGGAGGTCCAGGCAGGAGTCTTGAGGTTTCGAAGTTTATCCCCGATTAGGCTTGCCTAAGGGGGTCGTTCGTTTTTGTGTAAAGAGCATCGTTGTCTAGTATCCGTTGCCAGGCCACTTTCGCCCAACCCCAGCGCTGGTGCCTTGCGAAGTGAGTGCTATGGTAGTGTCATGCCCATGCAGCGGTATGATGTACCCATCGGTCGTTGAAAGTATGCATTTTTGGACTCCTAGATTCCAATCTACTTTAGGCGCCTCCCTACTTCAATGATCGAGTGGCTTCACCTTTTCCGTCCTCCTAAGGGGGTGGACGGAACCCAATCTTTTTTCAACGCTTTCCTACTTCATGTTTCTACCTACTTCTTCCGACTGATGGGCATGCTGGCGCCATGCGGTATCCGTGAGGGCTTCGCCCATTGCCGCCGGCTCCCGCTCTCTTGGAATGGGGCACCCCCGAGCTAACTTGGGATGCAGGGGCGCCGTCGTGAAGCAATGTCGGGACTTACGCGAGGGCCAATACCCATCGGTGGTTGAAAGTAGGTATTTTTGGGTTCCCATTTTCCAATATGTTTTAGGCGCCTTCCTACTTCAATGATCGAGTGGCTTCACCTTTTCCGTCCTCCCAAGGGGGTGGACGGAACCCAATCTACTTTCAACGCCTGCTTACTTAATGTTTCTACCTACTTCTTCCGACCGATGGGTATCGTACTTTACGGCTTGCACAGCAAAAAACAAAACGCATCTCTCGAATTCTGACGGTCCGCGCTGCGAACTTGCTGGCATCGAGTAACTTGCTAGGGATCGTAGCCTCGGGGACGCGAATGCAGCCTAATTTGCAAAAGGATCGTGTCCTCGAGGACGCGAATCTCTCTCTCTCTCTGTCTTTCCCTCTCTCTCTATATAGATATATTCTCATGTGCATATATCTTTCTCTACATATTTACACACCTGTATACATCTATATAACTATACATATATATATATATATATATTAATAGGGACCGTACACATATATATATATATATATATATATATATATATTACTAGGGACCGTGGCCTCGACGACGCACATATTAAAGGGCTTATGGCTTCGAGGACGCACATGTTGTGCAATTTGAAAGAGTGTATGTCTTCAAGGATGCAGCTACAGTGCAATGTACAAGATGTCGTTGTGCCTCGGGGACGCTAGTCTCGCGTAATTTACGGAGGATCGTGGCCTCGGCGAAATATGGTACATATACTAGGGCTTATGGCCTCGAGGGCGCGAATGTGGTGCAATCTACTCGGGATTCTGGCTTCGAGGACGCAAGCGTGGCGTAATTCAGAAGGGGTCGTGGCTTTGGGGGCGCGAACACTGCGCAAGTTACGCGGGGTCGTGGCCGCGGTTGACGCACATATCGCGTAACTTACGAGGTCTCATGGTCTCGAGGACGCGATCATCGAATCATTTGCTCAGGATTATGGCTTCGATGACGCAAACATGCCGTACATTACGACGCATCCTGGCTTCGGGGACGCGATCATAGGGTAGTTAACCAGGGGTCGTGGCCTCGGCGACGCAACTGTCATGTAATTTGCGCGGGGCCGCGGCCCCGGGGAGGCGACTATTGTGTAACTTACGTGTGGCCGTGAGCCTTGGCGTCGCAAACATCGTATATTATGCGAAGGTTTTTGGCTTCGAGGACGCGCACATGGAGCAATGTGCAAAGCGTAATGGCTTCGAGGACGCACATATGGCGTAGTTGCAAGGGATCGTGGCCTTGGGGGCGCGAGCATGTTATGGGGGGCGCGAGTCGAACATTTTTTCGGTGTCCCACGGCCTCGCAGGAATTCGGACACAGCGCTTCCAGCGTAGTAAGTTGGATCCTTTTGGGTCCCCTCCCCACGCGCGAAAGTCAACAGTTAACAATAGGTGTGAGGAAGTAGGGGTATAACATGGGAGAACTGAGCCTGGAGCTGGCGCAGGGAGCAGCAAGCCTTTAAGCCCTGCAGCCTGGTGTCCCCCCACAAGGGCGCCGGCGGATTACATGCGAACGCGATGTGCTGATGCAGTGCGACAGAAGTGCCGTACAATGCTAGTGCTAAGCTCTGTCAGTGCTGCATGCAGGCAGGTGATGCACTAGGCTACAGGGCTGGACCTAAACGCTGTTTTGCTGAACTTCGGCTGTGTTTTGTTTTTCGTTTTGGCAGGGAGGTGCAGGAAAACATGTAGACAAAACGAACAACGTAACGAAAACAATACGAACAACAACGTTTAGGTCCAGCTCTGCGCTACGCTATCCGATGCTGTGCCGTCATGCTGTGCTATGTTGTGCTACGCTGTGCTGTCTCTGCAACGGGAAAATGACCCCGGCAAGCAGCTAGAGCCACCCCTTGATTGGGATCGCGCTGGGTCCATTGGAGGGTTCCTGGAGGCTTTCGGGCCTGGGTTCTCCAGGAGTTTTTCCCCCTGCCCTCCTCTCCTCCCTTTCTCCTGCACCTGCTTCTCCCCGGCCCAAGGCCCGGGGCTTGCCACCCTGGAAGGCCGAAACAGGAGCACAACTTTGGGGGTTGAGGAAGTCAATCCGTTGGAGGTCTGCGTCCTGGGCTCCAGGGAGCTGGTCCTCCAGGGCCATGGCGGCCTCCGGGGGTCTCCAGGGGTCCCCAGAGGTCCTTAGCCTAGAAGTTTCTCGGCCTCAGGGAGGGCCCAAATCCAAAAAGGTCAACGATGAGGCCAATCCCAAAGGGAACCAGACCAACGAGCAAGCTGAAGATGAAGATCAACTTCAGTCCTTGCCAGAGAAGTATATGAAGAAGCAGCCGACGTAGATCATGGTCAGGGGGGCCCAAAGACTGCCAGAAACGTCCGAACACCTCGATGCTCGACGCCCCCCCCGAGCTCGAGGTCGACGCTGTGCCCTGCTCGACGCTCGACGACAAGGGCCGATCCGGCTCAGTCGGGTGGGGCCAGGACGAGGATTAATCCGTGCCAGAGCGCTCCAGCACGCTCTCGGAGAGCTCTGGCACGCTCCTAGAAGGCCGCGGGGCCCGTGATATCCCTCAGAGCCGCCGGATCTCAGCGATTCTCGATGTATCCTCGTCCTTGCTTCGTCTTACAGTGGAGACCCATGCCAAGAAACACACTGCTCGCCTCCAGGGGGCCCTGGGTTTCTTGGGTCTCGATGGTTCTTTTGTGGAGGGCGCGACGTTCCCGCACCAAAAATTTATGGAGGTCCTCCGTAAGCATTTTGGTTCAAGTCGTTCTGGTTCAAGCTTCTGGCGAGGGGTCTCCTAATGCTGCGTCGAGCTGTCGCCAGTCCACTAGGCGAGGGCATATCAGCGGTGATGTCGAAACCTGCTGTGGCGTGCGCAATCGGTGTTGGTGTGTTGTGTTGCTGTTGCGCCGTTTTTTTGCTCAGCACCTTGTACTTCGCCTACACCTTGTACTTCGCCTGGGTCATGGCAGCATGGAGTGTCAGAATTCAGATGTGGAACTGCACTGTCACAAAGTACGAACACAGGATGGAGACTGTGTCCAGCAACGACACCATGGTTTCCGAGTTTGTGCAGAAGGTCATGGAACATATCAATGCGTGCGGTGGGGAGGACGGAACTTCGTCGCAGGAGAAGAACATGTCTGATGAGTGCAAAAATATCACCAGGGAGTGCAGGTGCTTGCAAACTGAGGCGATTACCAATATGGACCCACCTCTCGTCGAAGAGTTTACCCCATGCTGCGACGAGTTCAAAGACTCGAACGGAGTGTTCAAATATTGTGTCCAGTACGTGAGCAATTTCACATTCAAGATTGAAGACATGGCCACCGCTTGCAGAGCAGGAGAGTACCCATTTGAGGACTCTGACACTTTCATGTTGCCCCGCGTCCCGTTCGACTTCCTGTCGAGGTTCTCCGTCGGCCAGACAGCTCCCCTTGGATCTGCCAGCGGCGACATTGCCACCATGGCTGGAGCATGTGGTGGCTTTGCGTTGGTGGCAGCGGTGATCCTCGTTGCCGGGCGCACGAGGCGATCTCGCACGCCGCCGACCCAGTCAGACTCGAGGCTGCGGTGGTGGGCGTTTGTGGCTGACCCGTCGGGGGGCTCCGTCCGCGCATCTACATCTTCTGGGGTGGTACATTTAGCACCCCAGGAAACTTCACGTACAGTCGTAACGTCCATCCGACTTTACGTAAAGTCGGATGGCCAGCCGCTCCCCACACGCGAAGGATTCGGCGAAATGTTCCGCGCCGCGCAGCTGCCTGCGCAGCTGCCCGCATCAGCGCCAGGATCCGGTGCGTGCCTGCACATCCGCACTGGGTGCGCCTCGACTGCCTGGCCGTCGCCCGAGTTTTGGTGCTCTCGAGCTGCGTTCGATGGAATGTTGCCTGCTGTGCACCCCGGCCTTCTGGGCATTCCATTCCACTCCCTTCCCCCTCGTCGTCCTCCTCATCATGGTTGTGTCTCTCCTCCTCGTCCTCCTCATCATGGTTGTCTCTCCTCCTCGTCCTCCTCCGTATCCTCTCTCTCTCTCACTCTCTCTTTCAGCTGATTTTGCTTGTAGCCATGATCAGTTTGATGCGTCGGCTTTTGGGCGCGGAAATCCGCAGCCCAACTCCGCCTCTTTAAAGTATCGCGTTCCAGCATGTGCGTTTTGCGTCTGCCCGCGGTATGCCCGCTCTTTCACCAGGGCCTCGGCATTGCATTGAGAGGATGTGATGCGTTGATCTTCGGCTTTCCGCGTCCCCCATTCCTTTCCTGCGCTCCCTATCCGCAAAAGATGCGCAACAAGAAAACAAAAACAACAATATATGGAGATCCTGGGGTCTCCGGGGGCGAGGTTTCTTTCGGAGGGTTTCTTGCGGTCGAGCTCCTGCTGTATCCTCGTCCTTGCTTCGTCTTCGCCGATCCCAGGCAGGCCCACCGCCCGGGCGCGGCGCCCGGGATGTCCCGTAGAGCCGCCGGATCTCAGCGATGCTCGATGTGTCCCAAAGTGGGGCATGTCCGTCTACAGGAGGAGTGTTCAAGAGCGGTCGGAAAAATAGTCTGGGGGCGATTTCTCGACTATAATGTGGGGTGTCTATCGTGAGCATTTTTTTACCTTTTTTGAGGGGGGGGCATTTTTCCTCCAAAATCCGCCTGTAGGAAGACATGCCCGACACTGCAAGGCCTGCAGGAAGCCATGCCCGACCTAAGTGTATCCTCGCGCTTGCTCCGTCTCCGCCGGTCTCCTGGGCAGGCCCATCGCCCTGGGCCCCGGGTTAGGCTGGGTATGTCTTCCCACAGACGGATGTTTGGACGAAACATACCAAAACATAGATTCAAACATAATCGACCCCTGATTTGTATTGAAATTTCTTGTTCCAAGAAAAGCGAGGAACGGTTTTTCAACATTCCTCCTGCAGAGGGGCACGCCCGACTCATGGGCCCAGGGCCGGTGCCTCCTGGGCCCTCTCCGCTCCCGGGCGCCTGCGCGCCCAGGCCTGGCCAGGGCTGGCGTGCGTGCGCGGACGGGCCGCTGCGCCTCGAGGAGCCCAGGAACGGCACCAGCCTGAGAGTCGGACAGGAGGAGTGTCGAAAAATCGTCGAAAGATAGTCAGGGGGCGATTTTTCGACTATCCTTGACTATTTGGGATTATTTTGAGTATCTCTCATGCTTCATCCAAAATCCGCCTCTAGGAGGACATGCCCGACCTAGGGCTGGCGTGCGTGCGCGGACGGGCCGCTTCGCCAGGGGAGCCAAAAACGGCACGAGCATAATTTCAGGGACCGAGCACAAGTCAGAGAAGGAAGCGGTACCCATACCTCTACTTTTCAATCGTTTTTTCCCTTTTTAGGTCTCCTGGGAGGTCCTCGTCGCCACCGCTGGATTCGCCTCGAACTCCTGGTCAGAACGCGCCCCAGGAGAGGTGCGGGGAGTGGCGGTATCGTTACCTTTCGGGTTCCCCAACAACGCCGTTCAGCTCGGTTTGGGCCTTTGTTTTGTTATGTGTTTCGTTTTTCGTTGTTATGTCGGTTCGTTCGGTAGCAAATCATGGGAGCCTTGCGTACTCCCCGCAATTCTGTCTTTAGCGTCGGTTAGCGTCGATTAGCGCCTTGGAGTCGATGAGATAGAGCCGATTTAGCGTCGATCACCGTCGACTAGCGTCGATTTTAGCGTCGATTGGCGTCGAGTTAGCGTCGACTAGCGTCGCTTCGCAAGAGCCGACAACATGGTATGGACGGCTCCCATGAGTTGCCGCCGCACAGAAACGGCACAAGCATAATTTCAGGAACCAGCCACAACGCCGTTCAGCTTGGTTTGGGCCTTTTGTTCTGTTATGCGTTTCAGTTTTCGCTGTTTTGTCGTGCCGGTTTCCGATGCTGTCTTAAACGCCCCGTTTCGTTGTTCGCTTTCGTTGGGCACCAGCTTCGTTTTGAACGTTCGTTTTGAACGTTGGGTTAAACGTCTTTGTGGTCGGTCCTTGCATCATGTCTCGGAGGTCCGCACGGATTTCTGAGATCGGCGTTGGGCCCCCCTTCCTCTGGCCCCGCCTGGGGGCCCCAGCGCTGATCCAAGAGATCTGTGCGGACGCTCCGAGAAGTTGTGCTCATGCCGCTGTCTGTTCTTCGATCCGCCCGACCGCACCCCCCGCCTCCCCCCCCCCGCCTCGACGAGTCGACCGCCGTGCACGGCTGGGCGATGCACCTCGGGCCCCCCGTGGTGCCAGTCAACGTCTCGGCGGTCGGCTCCACAGGCGAGGCCGCGGCTGCTGCCGCCGTCGCCGCCGCCGCTGTCATCGTCATCGTCGCCGTGATTGTCATCGTCGCTTCCATGCACCTTCGACGTCGCCGCCGCCGTGATCGCCGTCGTCGCCGTGATTGTCTCCGTCGCCTCCGTGCACCTCCGCCGTCGCCGCCGCCGTGATCGCCGTCGCCCTTCCTCCCTTCTGCCTTCTGCATCGTCCGTCCGCCCTCCTCCGTGTCCCCGCCGCCGCCGTGATGGTCGTCGTCGCCTCCCGCCTCCTGCCTCCTGCCTCGTCCCTCCTCCCTGCTCCGTCCTGCACGCAGTCGCGGCCAGTGTACGGGTCAGACCCCTGCAAAGTCAAAGGTACACCTTGCATCTTCGGGCTTGCCCGTGCCCTCCTCCCCCCGTCATCTTTCGGTGCACTCTGGGTGATTTGGGAGGGCGGACGGGGGAGGAGGGAGGGGAGAGGAGGTGGGGCGGAGGGAGGGGGGACGAGAGAGGGAGGAGGGGGAGATGGAGAGCAGGGAATTGCAGGAAGAGGAGGAGGAGTGTTGAAGAAGAGTACTGGGGAGGATTCGGTAGCAACTCCCGGGAGCCATTTATGTCCTCGCAGTTCCATCTTGAGGGTGCGCCAGCGTGCGCTATGGGGCTGGTGATCGACGAAAGAGCTCCGATTCAGCGTCGACCTGCCGCCGATTCGGCGCCGACCCGTGTCTCACTCGCGTCGATTCAGCGTCGGCGAGCGTCGACCCGCCAGGGCCCCGGCAGGGCGGCACGGGAGGCTCCCGCGAGCGGGGAGAGCAGCGCGGCACGGGTCGGCGCGTGGCCCCTCCCCGGCGCTCGGCGCCCAGAGGCGACGCCTGTGGGGGTCAGCGCCGACCCGGGGGACGCCGAGCGGGCCTCCGAATGACTCGTGCACCGACGCAGTTCCTTTTTCCTGGTGCGGGGTCCTTGCGCCCGCGGGGAGCAGAGGGGAGTCGTTCTCGTCCTCTTTGGACTCGTCCTCCTCGGTTTGGTCCTCGTTCGTCTCGTTTCGTCCCCTTGCGCTGCGTCCGGGCGAGCCGAAGCGGACGAAAGGAGATTCGGACGACATGCAGCGGAATCGGGATGGGGGGGGGAAGGAGGAAGGAGGGAGGAGCATGAGCATGAGCATGATCATGACCATAAGACGAAGTCTTGACAAATGAAGCCGCCCACTGACCATCTCGAGGTAGATGAGGGAATGGTAGAAGACGTACACGGCCAAAACCGTAGAGATTGACACAAGTTCAGCTGAGGTGAAAGCGGCTCGATGCGGCCCTTCATTCAATGATGTGTACAAACACCACTGGTCATCGGGCAACCCCCAAAGGGGATCGCGTCCTCCACAGACAGCCCCACAATATCAATACAAAAGACCGTACCCGCGTACGAAAATGAATTGACCTCTTGATCTCGCCCAAGCCTCTGTGCAAACATATGGGTCGACAATACACCTATAAGGCCAGAGAAAGTGACCATGGACACGGCGGGATGGGGAGTGTCCCACGAACTCCCAATGCATACCAAGAGCCACCACTCCAGCACACCGCTTGAAACACGCCCAGGTAGCAGGCGGGTGGGTCAATGCCAGCGGCTCCCCCCATCGACCCTGCAACCTGGGGCGGATGCCCTCCACGACGGTCGTGACAGCAGCACCCGCTCGCCTGAAATACGCTCAGACCGCAGGCGGGTGGGTCAATGCCAGCGGCTCCTCCCATTACCCCTGCAGCCTGGGACGGACCACGAGGCCGATGCACAGGAAAGCTTGAAAACTGAGATACAACAGGGCCCCGTATGCACCCGTGCAGCACGAAAGCGACGTGGACGAAGTAAACCACAAATCACACGTGGCCAGCACCGATGAGGAAGCTGCTGAGGAAAAAATGCCTGCATGAATTTCTCTCGGTCTTAGCCAACCCATCGATAAAAGCAAGACCCACACCAGTGAATGCAGCAAAATCTCTAGGTTGCCACAAGCACGCCGCGATGAGACGCCGAGAGTGGCTGCATGACCGGAGGAGGGAAGGAGGATGGAGGGAGGAGGGAGGAGGAAAGAGGGAGGAAGGAGGACGGAGGAGGGAGTTGGGAGGAGGGAGGAGGGAAGGGGCAAGCTAGGGGCGCTCGCGTCATATCTGACGTCCTACCCCTCCCGGCCCTCACATCCCTTACCATGGCGTAGACCTCCTCTCTATTCGCACAGTCGGATGTCGTAGCATGGCGTAGCATTACATGGTATAGCAAAATGTTGAAGATTAACGGGTATGATGACATAGCATGGCGTGGCGACGCCCCAAAGTGGCCCCAAACATTAACGAATCGACGCCGCAGGTGTAATCACTTCCGATGGTTGTTTCGGGGGGACATTTTTAAACATTATTTTTATTGTTATTTTTGTTTTTGCATTTTGGGGCATATTTGGAAGGACCGAAAACCATGCTGTGGCATGGCGCTGGAAATAATGACGCCAGCGCTGCAGCGGGAGCACGATTCGGAACGAGCAGACGCGCGGAAATGAGGCCAGCGCTGCAGCGGGAGCACGATTGGGATCGAGCGGAAGCCCGAACATGAGGCCAGCGCTTCAGCGGGAGCAATATGTTGAAAGAACAACCTAGCGAAAACCCAATTCTGGGGAATTTTGTGGGAACAAAAAACGGTACGCGGAGGGGGGCCGGACATTTTCCGGACGTCATCAGGGGAGAGAGGATAGACGTATCCATATTGTTTAAGTGTGGAAGGGGGGAAGGGGGGGGGAGGAGGAGGGAGGAGGGAGGAGGAAGGAGAGACTAGGGAGGGAGGGGGGGAAGGAGGGAGGAGGGAGGGGGGAGGAGGGAGTTGGGAATAGGGAGGAGGGAAGGGTGGGAAGGGGGCCAGGGGGGGGCAAGGGGGGCAGGGCCGCCGCGGCCGCGGAGGCCCCTCGAGGGAGGCCGCGGCGGTGCCCCAGGACGCCGCTCTGGCCCCCGAGGAGCGTGCCGGGCTCGGCGGCCGAAGCCGTCGCCGTCGCCGTCGCCGTCGTCGTCGTCGCCGTCGTCGTCGTCGTCGCTGTCGAGCGTCGTCGTCGCCGTCGTCGTCGCCGTCGTCGCCGCCGTCGTCGCCGTCGTCGCCGTCGTAAGTCGGGCATGCCCCTCTGCAAGGGGAATATTCAAAAAAAGCAAAAAAATAGTCAGGGGACGATTCGACTGTTTACATGTTTTGTTGAATATTGGTTTGCTACTTAATGGTTCTTCCAAAATCCGCCTGTAGGAGGACATGCTCGACCTAATCGTCGTCGC